ATTAACTAACTTCAGGCATATGGGGCAAGATGAAGAAAGAGACAACTAGGCCCAGTGTTTTCAGAACTCTTTAGCACAGCTACTCAGCTGCTAGCTAGTTACTTTGGGATGTGCAAGAACCTGCTCAACATTTTCCTTGACTTTTCAACAATCAATCTCCAGTAGGATTGCCAGCAGGGGTAGGTACATGCACAGCATCCTCAGAGATCACTCTGCCCAAGAATCTCCTTGGAAAGCCAGAGCATAGGTGTTAAGAGTTGTGCCTAAAGTCACACAGCTGACTCTTAGTGGAACAAGACCTTGATCCATTATCTTTCCTCCACAGCTCAGAGAAAAACTTCCCATAAGCCACCGCTTTTCCAAGGGTCAACCCTGATTACGCAGCCAGACTGGCACAAAAGCCCAGCACCCACCATCTCATAGCTCTCACGCCCCTATTGCCTGCTCCTGTGTGAATAAGGTGAGAGGGATTTTGCTCCAGGAAACCATGCTGATGAAAGATGCTATGAAGAGATAGAGAACATGGACTCAATGTCTACATGCTTCAGTTTTAAGCCAGCTTGATCTCTCCTCTTGGGCAAGCTACTAGCCTCTTTATGCCTCACTTGCCTCATTTCAAATTGGGGGCCAATAACAACCAAACTGTGTTATTTTTTTTTTAAAGTAGAGAGAGAAGAGAGAGAGAGAATTTTTTAAATATTTATTTTTTAATTTTCAGCAGACACAACATCTTTGTTTGTATGCGGTGCTGAGGATCGAACCCGGGCGGCACGCATGCCAGGCAAGCGTGCTACATCCCCAGCTCCCAAACTGTGTTATGATGACTCAATGAGACAATAGTTCTAAAGCACCTGAAAAAGTGCCAGGCACATTATAAGCACGTGTCAAAGTTTCTTGTGCCTGCCCTCCTTGTTGTGGTCATCCTTGTAGTTGTCATTATCAACAATTACATTGTTTTTTGTTCCTCAGGATTTAAACCAGGGAAAGAAATCTGCATGAGTCAGAAAAGGTATGGGGGTGGGGCAGCATAAGCAATAACCCTAATCTCATGGCTAATTTACTTTCTACCCAACTTTGAAGATAGATGAAATATATAAATTTTGGCACACTTTGGTAATAAAAATTAAACAAAACAAAGTTTACTCTTTTTAAGAGTAAGGAAAAGTTCCAGCTCACACCTCTCAATTAACTTTTCTATGGAACCATTTTAGCTATTACTCTGTGTGAATGACCAAGGGTAAACAGGTAAATAAACTGTGAGTGCAGCCTTTCAAAGAGTTTTATTGGTTCTGTAGAACTGTCTTTCTTTCCATTTTCCTGGATTTCACTCTGTGATGGAAGAAGGCACAGGGCCAAAGTCCTCCTGGATTTACTGCCTTCCTACTCCCTTTCTTGTAAGCTACCCCTCCTGGTTGGATGGTCTCTGGTCTTCCACACTCTTCCTAGTGCCGTTAGAATCTGGTCAGTTGCTTTCTAATGAGGATGGGTGGAAGAATATATTAGGCCAAGCTGATCCTGAGGGGACTGCCTCTCCCAGGTGAGCCAATTCCTAGAGATAGTAAATGACACGCAAGTGAACATATCTTTCATATACAAGTCAACTAATCCAGATCCATACCCTCAGGCACCTCTTCCACACTCCAGGGCACTATCCCCCAGCCTTAATTACCCCAGGGCCAGGTACCAGACAGCCAGGGACAGCCCCTAGGCTCCATCCTAAATCTGCTCACTTGCTTTAGCTGTTCCTTTCCAATAAAGGTCACATTTTTCCTGCATTCTGATTGCCTCCTAACCAGACCTGATGCTTCCCCACGTGAGTCCTCTGCATTGCATGCTGTGCCTCCTGTTTTATACTCCTGGGGAACTCTTTAATAAAGATTCTACTGGGATTTT